AGGTGTTTGCAACTAAGGTTTTTTTTGGGGGGGGGCGGGCAGAAGAGGATGAAATTTTCTTTGACAGTATGCAATTCGCTTGTATGCTCTTCTGTTTTCTGTTTACTTTTACTTGCCTAGGCTTATAATTTAGGAGGATTTTGCTTCCCATCTGTATAGCATTCGGGTTCTCGATATTACTAGCTTAACAGGAGACTTAATAGCCCTGATGAATGAATCTGATTGCATCTCGACATCATTAGATTGGCTTTGAAAGCATTAGTGTCGCAACTTGATATCCGTCAAGAATGATGTGCCCGGGCTAATTACAAATAATGAAGTTGAGGCAAACTGATCCACTTTATTTAACGAACGGGAATTAGATTTTCATTAAGGGTGTTTTCCAAAAGTATAAAGGAATTCGGAAGTACGCAACAGGCACAAATTTAAATTGATGATACATGGGCAAATATTTCACGAATGGTAAGTATGCTAAGTCATTATTTCTCTTTAAGACATAGCAGGACTTTAAGGACGACAAAATTCAAAGTAAGCTTCTGAACCACGAAAATTTTGGTCAAGTGAGAAAACTAGCAAAAAAAAGCACACACACACACACACACACAAAAAAAAAAAAAAAAAAAAAAAAAAAAAAAAAAAAAAACCTGAAAGTTTTCAGATTTTAAATTACGTCCAAAGGGGCGTTTTTTTAACGTTTTGTGTGTTACCTTTATTTATTAAATAGCATGTTCTTTGCACCTAAACCATAAAATTAAGTTCAATAACAATATCGAAAGATAATTTTAAAATGAGCATATCTTTAAAATGTCCGATACACTGTTCCGCGCGCTGGAGATAAAAAGATCCTCCCCCAGCAAAGTGTTGTCATTGATCGCGCTTTCAAATCCTTGAGTTTGTTAATAAAAAATCCGTTAAAGTGTTACAAATATGAAATCTATAATAAAACAAATTCAAATTTCAAATTTGGTCTTCCACATGCCCATATTCGTAGGAGGATTACGTCATTCAAAATTCTATGGCTCTAGGTACCGTTGTTTTATCACAATGCGAGAAATATACTTACATTTTATGCAGATTTTTCATTATTTAATTTCTTCAAATATAATGCAGGACTCTAACATTTGGTGGCAGCAGTTTGAAAAGTGAAACGGATATTTATAGTCATTCAACGCAAAATCGCAAAACGAAAACAATAGTTCTTCAGGGACAAAGCCCCTTTAGACTAAAAATTCTAATTATTTGATCTATTTTTTATTCTACTAAACATTTTTAAGGAAAAAGCTCAGTTCTATAGAATTTAAAAAACTGCTCTTGAAAAATATTTTCGAAATTATGTGACTTATGCGATGGAAGTCCTGCTAATAGGTCGATCTTAAGGTTTACTCATGAAAACTGAATTTCGGGGGATAAAAATATTTCGAACTTTTCTAAAAATGGGAATTTGAAACCTTTGCTTTTATTTTCAAAGAAGACAACCAAAGAACTGCTCCTTTAAAATTTTGTAAATCATAACGTGTGTGTGTGTGATTATGGCAAAGCCTCGAGGGCTATCTGCCTAAGAGGAGGGATGCCTTCGTGGAGGACTTTCTAAGGGAAACTGGCTCGTATACACGTTACACATGGGGAAAACCACGAAAACGCCCCATGCAGCCAGCCCGTTCGCGGGATTCGAACCTCGGACCGAACTACCAGTGTTCAGCGATTTTACCGCTCGGCCGCTGGTGTGCTGTAAATCATAACGCTAAAAATAGATGATTCTATCAATGGCCGAGAGTCGGAAGCGTGAAACAATGGTAGATATTGTACTGCATATCTCAGCTCTGAAACCAGCTGGCTGCATATGTATTTTCGAGACTTCACCTATGTAATTCAGCTGACTTGGTCACGAAGACTTGATCACGATGGCTAAGTGAAGACATTCAGATTTGGTAATGAAGGCTAAGTTTTCAACAATTCAATCAAGCCGCGCTGGTTGCTTTCAGATCAACAATATAATTTTGGATTCAAACAGAACAGTCTGTAACATATAGCAAACCAGTTTTCAGCCTGCAGGCCACCCATGGCCAACGAAGAAAAATTCAAAGAATCCCTAAAACTTCCTTTGTACATAAAACTAACAATAAAATTCTAGACAGAGAGGGGGGGGGAATAAAAAATTCGAAAAATGATAAAAATCAAATTCACTTTTAACACGGAAGGATAAATACTTTTTTCTGCTTTAAAACGTGAATCGAACTTTCCTGGAACGTTTCCAACAACAGCTTTCGGTGGTTAAATTCTAAAAGAGATATCGCTCTATTTTGACGAATCACCGTTCACTCGCTCAGTAAAGTGAATCGGTTCTTTGAATCAGTTCGTGAGCGATTAGCATGTCTCTAGCCTAAACCTTGGCTCACACTTGATCAAGCTCTTGTGAAGACATTACAGCTTGTAGAAATATAACACAAGATGACTGCCAACCTTTGCTGAAAAACGCTACCTGCAAGATTTAGAAACTCGAAAATTATCTATAATTTAACTAATTTGCATTCTAGTGGAATGGTGACAGCAGGAGCCAAAATGATACGACAAACGATAAGGGAAAGCCAAAATGATAAGACAACTGGATTAATTAAAATAAAATCTTTCAAATGCAGTGGCCTATAACTCGTTATATCCTGGATATGGTCGCGTGGATCTATATCTCTTCTCAGACACCCTTTAAGTGGGGAAGCATGTAAAGAATTGTGCCATTCCTATGTGCGTGCTGTTATGGTGTAAGTGGCTTAGCTCGCGATTGAAAGAGTTTAGCTTCAAAATCGGTGAGGATACAGTTGGGTTTTTGCATATTTTCTGGTCCGAAATGTTTAATGATCTTTATTAGGAAAGCTCTAAAATACAGCTTTCTAAAACAGAGATACAACTATTAAGTTATTCCTCAGCTTACTAGAAGTATTTCATTCCTTTAAAAATAGGACACTGGGGAAAGGTTCTTTAACGTAGAAGATGAACAACTGGTCTTGGAAAAAGAAATGTTATGATTGTATGACTTTGTTGACTTTTAGCCGATGAAAAAAATTGGCAGGATCCATTTTTAATACATTAATGCTTATCTTATATAAGAGGTAATCGGAATATTTACACTCGGAACTGATTTCAGCAATATTTGTTATACAGTTTTCAGGCAATGTTATTGATAATTTCAGATAATTTTGGTCATTATGATTTTTTTTTTTTTTTTTTTTTTTTTTTTAAATTTTCCCCCGAATTCAGGAATGAAAAACATTACTCTCATTGATGCTTTCTCCCCAGGCTCTCGTATAATATTTCAACTTAATGTATCTTCATTGAAACGTTTCACGCGACCAAAATCAGTCTGCAAGACTACTTTGCTTGAGCCATTAATTAATTCGAAACCAAGGTTTACAACTAACCACCCAATCACTTTATAACACCCTGCTTTTTTGCTTTAAATTTCTTTCATTTATTTTCGTATAATGAAGTGCAGGAATGGCATATTTTAATTACGAACGTGGGTGTTTTATTACTTTGTCTTGGTTCATTTTACAGACTAAATTTCCTTTTGTTTCAGATGATGTAAATCTAGCCTGTATTGCTCGCAAAAATAAATACGTACATAATTAGAGTAAATCCAACTTTCTACATCGTTTGATTTGGCTTAGTTGATTATGGGAAAGCATACTAGAGCTATCGGCCTAAAGGGAGGAATGCCTTCGTTTAGAATTTTTTTTAAGGGAAACTGGATCATATACACGTTACACATGGGAAAAATACGAAAGCGCCCATGCAGCCAGTCCGTTCGACTGGAGTCGAACCCAAGTCGGAACTGTTAATGTTAATGTTTAACCTCTCGGTCGCTGGTGGATGGTGAACTTGTACATGTAATACATGATTTCTTCCACCTTTGCGAAAAGTCTTTACAATGACTGCTATACCGAGAGATACAGACAGTCTGTGTCAGACCGCTTTTTTTTTTTTTTCAGATGGCCTTAATGCTATCAAAAGCATACTTTTGCACACTGAACAGCAGAAAAACGTTGCATAACTTTCGGTAATTTGAAGTTAAGGCGAGCTGAAATATTGGAAAAAAAAGAAAGAAACTAAGAAATTGCTATAAAACTTTACATGTCTAAAAAATTTCAGAACGCTAAAATATATTGTAAAATGATTCTTTCTTCACTTTTGTTATATTTTGTCATTTTATTTTAAGTTTCAGTGTAAACCAGCAATTATTAAAAAAAAAAGGAGTTTCTGTTCTTATAACAGGATATTACCCCGTTGGAAAATTAAAAAAATCAGAAAAGATAATTTGTTATTTATAATGTTTTTTCAATGCAGTGTCCGGATGGAAAAAAAATAACCCTAAGAAAGAAACAAAATCAGAGAAGTCAAAATTCAGTTTAACGTCTAATAAAAAGTAAATAACGAATAACCAACTCCCACTTTAGTTTGAGCAGAAAATTCCACGGTATTTTCCACAGATACATTAAGGTGCAAAGCAATCAGAGGAGAGCAGAGTTTTCGACAGTGGGGAAGTGTTTATACAATGTATACCTAGGTGGATTATGAGACACTTATTTAAAGAGTTTCGAGGAAACATCACATTTAGACAACTGGGATTCTACTAAAAGACATTCAAAAACAATTTGCTCATTAACTTTTATATGAGAACAACAACAACAATGAAAAAGAATATTAATACATAAAAAAAAAAAAACAAATTTAAGTCTAATTAGGGAAGAAAAAACATTTATTTCACAAGATACTAAATCATATATAGTATTAACAGCACGCAAGTAACTTTTACTAATTATTAATAAATTATAAATTATTGTATAAATTCTTGTAATCATTATGAGTATTTTAATAAGTATGACCATAGTTCTCCGTGTCACTTGTTTAATTATGAAAACGAGTCAAATATTGCATCAGTCGTTTTTGCACTCATTTTATTTTGTGCAACAGTGAAAATATAAAACACTAAGTATCCTCTTCTTCTTCTAACTGTTAAATGCTAAAATTCTTAATTCGTGCCTGACGTTTATAAAATCCTTAGTGCACAATAATTCTTTAATTTTTTCATACTCATCAATACAACATATTTTTTCAGTTACCATCAAAATGGCCAACATGCCTGCAAAGATATTAGGTGCTCTTCCTAAATATCGTTGAAATCTTGTTATGCAAGTTATAACCTCCGCTTTTTTGTTTTCTAATCTAAGTTTTAAAATAGTTTTGAGGACGTCATTCCACACTTCTTGCACGAAAAGCCAAAATACTTCAAAAGCCATATCTACATATGCTTCCACATTAACTACCGTATTCATAAAGCTAGCATATTCGTTTATGGCCTTATCTTGAGAATCATTAGATCTAGCACCAACAACTTCTTGGATAAAATCATGAACATCGTAACTGATTTCTTGTTCTATATCAGCACAGAAAATTCTTGTAAGTATTTGAAGAGATAATTTAGTGTCAGGTGATCCAGGTTGAAGTTCTCCAATAGTTTTAGATATAATTTTAGGCACAAACATAGCTAAAGACCAAAAGTTGTTGGCAATGACACATAACTTCTTTTTCCCTTCGTTTTTAAAATCAAGCACTAATTTTTGAGAAACCTCTATTTGTAGTTCAGCATACTTCATACAACATCGGTGGAGAGCACTAACAAAATAGTCATCGTATTCAGGAAATGAAGGATGGGAAACTAAATTCCATAATTCAAACAATTCTTTTTCGATGACTTCAGATGTCCTTTTGACAGACGTACTTTGTCTTTCATTCCTATCAGCTAATTGAATTATTGCATTTTTTAGATCATCATTGCCAGTTATCGATTCGATGCGTGCCAGTACGATACTTTCTTTCCATAAGAACCAATCCTGTATGATATTCGGGCCAAACCAGTCACGATATTCATCCATCCTGAGTGTTTCTTCTTTGGAAATGGACATACGCATGGAATCTGTCAACTCTTTAATTTTAACAAACATCGCTAATAGTTCTTGCTTTTCATCATTTTTGAGATACAAAGATTTATCAGTAATTTTCATTATATGCGATTTCAAAACACGTGAAAGATGATTGTCTAAATTTTCGTAAACTAACGTTGTGTAAGTAATCTTTGGGAAAACTCTCTGAAAAACATCATCAGCTGCCTTATTGTAATTTATGAGGTACTTCAAGAAACAGTAGATGTATTCAGCCATACTTTCAGATCTTATCTGTTCCATTTCTTCATTTTTTTGTTCCGTCCATTTACTGATTTCTAGTTTCAAAGTCTCTTGTAAAGATGAGTTTAATCCTGTAATCTCATCACAAAGTTTTATACATCTAAGAAGGAATTCAAATTCAATGCGTTTTGTTTCGTTATCTGTGAGATCGAAGGAATGCAGATGACTGGTAATCGTGATACAAAGGTTCTGCAGTGTCTGGACTGATATTTGATAAATGTCTTTAGCAGAGTTTTCTAAAGGGTAAATCGATGGTGATTGCGCTATACAGTCATTGGTTTCAAACAATATATTATACAAAAATTGATAGTCAAATGAAATATGTTGCAAAGATAAATGTACAATGGTAGCGAAACGACAAATTGCATCCTCAAATGCAGAAATATTCCCTTGTGCACCATGCTGGTATATCAGTGTATTTGCCGATGGGTTTAATATCTGCTCCCATCTTGTGATACTCAAATCAGAATTTTCATGAATTTTCAAACCGTTCTGAAGACAAATTTTAACTAGCAACAGATGTCTTTTCAAAGCATCTAAAGTGTTTCTTGGCCTTAGGGCTCCGACCTTAGCTATCAGATGTATTTTTCCAGTTATAGGTTCCTGTTTTTGAGGTCTTAATTCCATCCATTCATCAATACCTTCTGAATATATATCTGAAACTTTAACTTTGACCTTCCCCAAGAAGTCATCAATAGATTTTGCACCACATGGACAAATATTATCGCAACAGTCGTTGCAGAATAACCAGCAACCATAAAAGTTCTTTATGCGTTTCATTTCTCGTAGATTGGCAAGCAGTCCTGTTGGATCTTTGTCCCATATTTCAATAAATACAACATCGTTTTCAAAGCTGTTGATATTAAAGCTAAAAGTCTCATTCCAAACTGGATCAATAGTCCTTTCTTTCACTTTAGTCATTTCGATGCATTCTGGCTTGCTACTGATCCAAATCTTGCAAAATGGGTCGCTTAAATTATCAGCATCTTTGCCCATCAAATCCCATGCTTCTACTACATTTAAATTCAGAACAAATTTTGGAGCTCTTATTAGTTTGGCTTTTTCATAGTTTTCTTGTTGAACGCTTGAATTCATTTGAATGAGTTGATTCTGGTACTGAGTTAATTTTCGAGGCCCTTCGCTTGTGGGACCCGGGATCCCCAAATAATGATTGATTGTGTATGATATTGTTATGTATATATATTGAAGATATTTTTCTGGAACATCATTTTTCAGTATATCCGATAAATCTACAGAATTCAGATCAAATCCTTCATCAGCTAAAGCCGCTGATAAATAATCCGTATATAATACTTCATCAGTCAAATGTCTTTTTTGGGCCTTCACGCCTTCACTAAATGATCCCAAAATTTTTCTTTTTGTTGTAGGGGCTAGTATCCTTGGTTGCTCTTCGCTGAAGTAATCATCCTGAAGTGTAAGTACTTTGTTACCCGATTTGGAATTCCTAATTGCAATAGTTTTTCTTCTTGTCGGTTTCCTGTTATAACCATTGAAAGAGACGGATGAGCTAAACGTATTCCTTGAGTATCTGCTATTAGATGACTGAACATTTCCCATGAACTTTCTTTCATCTTCGTAAATAGGAATGGGTTTTCTATCTCTTAGTTCGCTGGGCATTATTGAAGTTGAGACTGAAATTTAAGCAAATAAATAATTGAACAGTATGAAGTATTTTAACATTATTATAAAAGCAAAAAATTCAGAAACAGAATTCTCTTGGTTAATTCACCTTATTCTGTGATTAGCAACTAGAAAGATTAACCAATCCTCACGAGTCAATTCTCATCTATATTGAGGAAACAGTTCCTGCTTATCGTCTTAAAGAATATTCTTTAAGATATTTTCTGCAGTAGTTAAACTTTGGAAAATTAGCAACCACGTGGTAAGCCGATTTATTACAATAAGATGTCTTCATGTGTCAATCTTATCGATAAAACGCATCGCGAAATTTTCATCACTTTGGTTTATTAGGTTAAGGCAAAGGGCTATCTGCCTAAGAGGAGGGATGCCTCCATGAAAGACTTTTTAAGGGACACTGGCTCAACATATTACACACGGGGAAAACAAGAAAATGCCCCTGCAGCTAGCCCATTCGTTGGGATTCGAATTCCAGACCGAACTGCCAGTGTTCATTGACTTTACCGCTCGGCCGCTGGTGGGCCTTTTCATCACTTTAGTTCAGGAGGTTTCAGAAAGATTCAAGAAAGAAAATCACGGAAACCAATTATGTAGCCAGCCATTCGTCTGGGTTAGAACTACCAGTCAGTCTTAAGCTGTCTTAAGCACTCGGCCATTCGTTTTACTTTATTTTTTTTTACTACTTACTTTATTTTATTAAAATTTTTAAAAGAAAAGTAGAAAAAAGAAGAAATGTATGAAACAGGAAGAAGACTGCTCAGGTTTTGCTTGGAAATGATTTATGCGATTCTTTCTTCTTTTGGAGGCCCTCCCCCAGTGGTTGAGCGGTAAAATTGCTGAACACTGCTAGTTAGATACCAGACGTAGTAGATACTGGTAGTTAGATACCAGACAAACGGGCTGGCCACATGCGCGTTTTCGTGTTTTTCCTCATGAATAACATGTATATGAGTCAGTTCACTTTTAGAAAGTCCTTCACGGAGGCATCCCTCTTCTTAGGCAGATTCTACCACCCTAGTGTGCTTTGCCACTAACAATTAAACCGAAACCTTCTTCTTTTAGTAATGCAGACAACTTCAGGAAGATAAGCAATTTACAGTTACTTGTGATACCTGTTCCAAAAGATGCTTTATTTACTGACTCTATAATAGTATTGATACGATTTTGACATTACCTACACTTGTCAGCAAAACAGACATGAACACAATATTTCTGATGTGGTTCTTAAAACGCTACTCTGGAGTTCTATACTAAGTAAGACCTCCAACTGGCTTACCTGTCTTTATTACTGCGAAAAATTCTTAATAAGGAAGACATGCCAAAAAAAGAACTTAAGTAATTCAAGAAAATTAATCTGAGGAAAAAATTAAGAAGATATTCTGTTCTAAATAAGTATTTCAAATAAGCATTTGCAAATGAGAAAGAAAGACATGCCAATTAAAGAAGTTAAGAAATCCAAGAAAATTATTCTGAGAAAGAAATTAAGAAAACGTGCCATTCTAAATAAACATTAATAACTATTTACAGATGTCATTAAACAAATGTGATCCAGAGGTTTTCTTTTTCATTCAATCCTGAGTATCATTTTGAAAAACCCTGCGTTTTAGTTATTTAAAGAAACAAGTGTTTCGTTATTAGTAAAAATCAGTTATAAAAGTAACAGGATTAAGTTTTGAAATAAATATGCAGGATGGATATAATTACGGATCAGAAACAAATACAAATAATTAATTTTTTGTGTGTGTGTTCCGGATCGTCACGAGTAAAAAATAGAGAGTTTACTTTCAGCCTTCTAAATGGATATTTTAGTTCCATAAGTATCTGAAACTATGTTAGGATATATATTTACGATGTTTTCATACAGTTTCGTTATCTAATGTTTTAGACTATTGTCTCACAAAAATGATCGGCCACTCTTAGTTTCCGAAAATAAAGTCCAATGTTTTTATAGTAAACTGCATCGGGGCGATTACTCATTTAAGCCAACGCTTTGAAAGTGGCTAGTATTTCTGAGAGCATCGGTACAGAACATTGCAATTCTAAGATGACCACCCCTAACGATGATTAAAACCACTTGGAACTACTGGTGTTCCTCTTAGATCTTCCCTGTATGTTTTCCAAAAATAAAATATTGCAGTTAAAATTTAATAAGTTTTTTTATTCAGAGTTAGAATCATGTTATAAAATAGATCGGACATTTACTGTTCTATAAATAAAAACTGAAAGCCATAAATTTAAAAGTTTTTCGAATACAGTGAACCTTTTGGTAGAAGCCACATTTCTAAACCTACCATCTTCCAAAATGATCACTATTTCTGAGGAACATAAACAAATATTAGAAATGGACATCAAATGCACAACACGGCCATCTCCACTGGAGGCCAAAACCATTTAGGACCTTAGACAACCATCTGAAGAAATCACCACTGCATTTCATTAGATTATTAGGAACTATTTATCTTTTTGGAATAGGTTCAATTAGGTTTTATTTCTTTCGTCTTACTTTTCTTTAATCACTCTGTATTGCTAATATCAAATTTGTTTAAAAGTAATGCTTTATTTTCGAATTTTATATTCCATTGCTTATCAAATATCTAGAGGATTTAAATCGAGTTGCAGAGGAAATATTTGGAATATTTTAAGACAAATAAACTGTAACCAGAGCCATACATTTATAACAAATTTATAGCCTTTTTCAGGTTAGAATTTAAAACTGCTTTGGAAATTACGTTTTTGTCATGGTGATTTTAAAATCAGCTTCATTATACAGATATCTTCATATTAACCTATTACCTACCAATAAACTCATTTTCAAAGGATGCCATATATTCTTACATTCCAACTTCTGCTGCGTCATTGGAGCTATGTTAAGTTTTAAAATTCTGTTTTGGTTTTCTTCAAGTTAAAAATTGATGACCCTAATCAAAGATGTAAAATGTGCTTCCTTCAAATATTTTTATTTCTTTCAAGATTCTTATTTCTCATAGATTTTGAAGAGGAGAAAAGATGAAGTTCCTCTTCTTACAATGTCACAGAATTCTGTTTTTTTTTTTTTTTTTTTTTCCCACTCTGCAATATTATACAGTACATCATATAACTGTTTTAATAAGCTATGGATTGACAAATGTTCCACATTATTCAATAAAGCACTGCTGCAAGTTTAGAAAACATGCATTGAGATTTTATCATTTTTAACAAAACTGGGATATTCCCCAGGGTTTTGGAAGTTTTTCTAATAGATTTTGCTCTTTACATTACAAACTGGGACACAATTTATGGATTTCTAATCACGTACATTTCTGAAAACAGCCGCACTAAGAAAACACCAAAGTAACAATAATTATAAAAATTTGATTTAAGAGCTACAGGAGTTGACGTTTTGGGTATATTAAATTTGCTTCGATAAAAATATGATGCCATTAATATACGTTTAGTATTTATTGCAGACGATTTTTTTTTTGTGATTTCAGTTATAACCAAGGACTTTTGTGACGTGAATTTTCCGTTCTAAAACGAAGACTCATTTTTAATATCAATATTTATTTTTGGATAAAATATTTATTTTGTAAAGAAGACGAGGTAAACGAATACTTAAAAGAGAAATCATGATTTATAATTTCAATTTTAATCTTTTAAAACTTTTGATGCAATTTTTGGAAATTAAAAAAATCATATATGTATATTATAATAATCATAAATTATATAAAAGTAATATTATAATGAATTATAAATAGAGCTAACTACAAGTTCACGTTTTAATCAATTCTCTTAACATTAGGATTTTTAAATAAGAATACCAGAAATCATTCGTTTTTATGAGCAACGTCAAATTTAAGGTAGCTAATAAAAGCTGTATATAGAATTTTATTATAAGCTTACGTTTTTCCGTACAGTATTCCGATAAATTACTGCTTAATAACATTAACAGCTCTTTCTTCTACTTATTCATACAATTTCGAGAGCAGATTTATCTACATAAAATTTCCGAATAAGATGACTGATGAAAACATAAGTGAAATATTAAAATTTGAGTAATAAAGAACGCATATTCTGTTAACCCTTTGCGGTGATATTAAGTTTATACATAGATATCATGATGGTTGAAAATAATTTTCATTGAACGTACAGTAGTACATAACATTCAACATTATGAAGCTTGTCGACTTAACATAATCAGTATGGTTCTTTGCTGCGGTGGCTGAGGGCAGGCATACGACTGGAACAGCGAAAAAGATTTTGTGGCTGAGGGTGGACATAAGACGCAGAGCGTTAATAGAGTTAACTGTAGTAATAATGAATTTATTTTCATTTTACTATTATTGTAATCGTAATAATAATAATAATTGAAAGCATAACTTTTTATATAAATACGTGACTTTAAAATTATCACAAGTTATATTATATGCTTGCGTGTATCAAAATGTGTACTTACTTCAACATATTACAGCAAGAATAGTACATTAGTTTTCAAAATCATAATTCTAAATGAACTATCGAAATATCAGCCAACAGTTACTCTGTTATACCAGTGTTATTCGCAATAGGATAATTCAAATCCTCGCCTCAACAATGTGATGAAAAGTAATTCTTACATTGCTTATAAACAGATTCAAATTTTGTTCTACATTTTTCTAGGCAATAACTACAGCGGCTTAGGAAAAGATGTAAAAAAAATCTAAGCATCGTTATAAAGATTAAATAAAAGAAGTAATTTTGTCTTTTCAGATAGTTAAAAGATTGATTGGTCTTTGATATTTCTAGTGAAGCAGATCAGTTCTTTATTCTCAGATCCCCAAAAAAGAATTTTTGTATAAGAAAGTCTTTGAAGCAAACACCTTTTTTTGTCAAGTCTGAAACGATTATTACTGTATTAAGATAACGGCTAAGAAGTAAGTACAGTAACCCTCCCCCCCCCCTCAGTACGAATTCATACTCGGTTAACATGAACAGAATTTCTGTCCCGGCTATGATGTATATGA